CCCCCCCCCCAACTATGTGGTATTTGAAGCTGTTATGTTGCATTGGAAGTTGTGATTTTTTCACATTTGAAGGTGTGATTTTTTCACATTTGAAGTTTTCCTGTTCACACTTGGACTTTTTATGTTCATATTTGAGATTATTACGTGATATTAGGAGTTGTGGCAAGGTGGCAAATGAAGTTACAGTCTGGCTTTTGAAAACAGTTCCATAAGTGTGCATTTGATAGAAGAGATATTATTGACACATTGTGAACTCAAAATCAAGTGTAAGGTATGGAATGATCATTGTAGTGACAACGTTAAAAACATTGAACAGCGTCATGATTTATCATAGCAAAAGATATTTGACAAAATACAGTCTAGCAGTGATTTAGGATCAAGGTAAAGTGATACAAAGAAAGGGAGATATAAACCACTTGAACACAGAACAAAATCTTTTGAAAGTAACAAAATAAACGTATTTTGAAATGCTCATGGGGCAGGAAAGAAAAAAATGGATTTTCAACTCAGTTGTAATACTGTAATCTCCACTATATAAAATATCCTGATCCTTGTAGATAACAAGCGCCCTTGGCCACCTTTCTGTAAGCCCATGAACGGACACGTCACATCTTTAAGTTTTACTAGAATGTGCATAATATTATATTTTACAGCTTGATCTTCCCTGAACTCTGCATATCGTGTACGTCAGTCTACCAAATGATGAACCAAGCAATAAATAAACAATACTATGAATTAATATTCACGAGCAGTTTGTGATTACTTGAACGGACACCATTCAAGGAGTGACAGTCGACTGATACATCACCGAGGTGGTTTAGTTTTTGTAGAGGTTTTACGGCGCTCGCAACTGCATATGCTCGTATCAGCGCCAAGGGGTGGATGTCAACAGAGAAGTCCAAACAGAGAAATATAGACGTAGGCGTAGGGAGACTTGCAGTCTGGCAATCATTAGGGTTGGTTTTGCACCACAAGCACTGCAGGTGGACACTTCTCGAGAACTTTTTTTTTGGGGAAGGACTTAGGCTAGAAGGTCGTAAAATAGGGACCGGGAGAGTCCATTCCCGAAATTTAAAAAGCTTTATGTTCAAAGACTGCAGTTGGGGGTGAGGGGGCCTGGGTGGACATAGACGGGTTACATATTAATATCTAGGAACAGCAGAGGCTATTTTGAGACCTTCTGATATTTGACCGTGAGTTTTGTAGTAACTAAATAAAAACGTTTGACTTTTTTATGACAAAAGGACATCCTGTGTCGGAACTGGGCACACAATATCATTATTATTTTAATAGTT